TCTGGTGCCCCACCAAACTACAAATCCCAGAATTCCATAGCATTGAGTCATAGGAGTTAAAGCAGTCAAACTGCTTTATTTCTGCTGTGTAAGAGCAGTCTTTGTGTGTTGTGTCTTTTTAGACTGGGAGTCTAAGGGAAAGGAACCATCAATTTAACAATTTGTAAGCCTCTCTGGGAGTCTTCTTGATTGAAGGACAGGATATAAATTCTCTAAATAAAGGAACGTATGCCACATTCTGCGTTTTTAAAGGATAGGAGACAAAGTTCTAGCATAATTTTATGTAAAACTGTACACTAAAACAATTACTGTCAAATGTTAATAACTCCTGGCATATTATCGCTACCACAGGTGAGAGGGGTGCGTCAATCAATGAATAAGTGGATATTATACCGAACTTTGGCATCTTGGGCAACACTCATCCAGATGCTGCCATTCTCTTTCATTTTACTAAATGATTTAGACTGTTTTTAGTCTATGGAGCTTATTGCTTGGGGTTTTAAATTGTATCAAGCCTCCCAGGCTGCAGCCGAGAGATGGGATGGAGGCAGGGATTATCGCATGCTAAATTGCCTCCAGACGCCATCAACCTGGGTCCCAGCTGGGTTCAGTCAGTGTGTTTCAGAAACCGAAAAGTGTTCTGATTAAAATAGCCTCCCAGTTATGTCTGTTGGAGGCTTAAATGATCCAGATTTCATCTGCAAAGGAAATCCTTACTCAGGCCTGCTGGTGCCCTAAGGAAAGATGTTTGAATCTTTGCTTTTTCTTGCAAGCTGTGTATTCAGTTTAGCCTTGTCATGGTTGCTATAGAAATAGAAGACTCATTTAGTGGATTTTTCTTTGTTGTTTTCAGCTCTTGGTAGAACAGGGGTTTCCTGTCTGCAGCTTTGAATGGATTTCTTTTAGAGAATAACTACTGCTATTCTCTCTCATCCTTCTCGAACGGCAACTTTTGCCTAGGGAAAAGCTAGTCTTACAAACACAGCCTCCATCAACATTCCTACAACTACTCGATTAATTTTTTAGATTTTTCTCTGCACAGAATATTCATTTGATTAAAAACTTGGCTCAATACCTCAGCTATATAAAGAATTTTCCATCTCCTGTTATAGTTTAAGGGGCTCAAAAAGAGTATTAATTCAGATCTTTGATCCAAATCCATGTACCTGTTTATTTACATTTATGGATCTGATTTTTCTGCCTTCTCATGATTGCAATGGAGTACAGTATACACAAAAATCTTAATATCAAGTTTTTCTGCTCAAAACTGGCATAATTTTTCCCCTCTGGATTAAAGCTCTGAGGTTATTAAAAGGCCCAGATTTAACCCCAATCATCCTGTACATCATTTGGACAGCTCATTGTGAAAACTAGGTGAGACCATTTTATTTGGCCTTTGTAGATGTGCCCATAATCTGACCCAAAGCCAACTATTTCATCTTGTTTGCTGGAAAACTGCAGGTTAAACAGGATGATACTTTTTATATCTGTAGTTAGAAGCAGTGTTCCTTCAAGGCAGGGGTTCCCATCCTGGGGTGCTTGCATGCCCAGAAGATGCAAGATGGAATTTCAGGGTTCATGACAGAGGGGATTATCAGACAGTGAAAAAGGATGGGAGAGAAGCGGGATGCTCCCATCCTTATCGCGTGATTGCAGAAAGATCATCAGACAATCTCCCACAGCATCACTCTCATCCCATCCTTCTCCCATCAGTGAAGTGGAATGGC